ATCTGTCAGTAAGTCCTGACAGATCTGTCAAAATATATTTAGGAATTTATAACTTCTTACTGCCTCCACTCCCTGATCTAAGTCATCATCTTATTCCCGGATTATTGCAAATCCTCTCTGCTTCCACCATACAATTTTTTTCAATACAGAATGATTCTTTAAAGATATAAGCCAGATTGTGTCACTCTTTTAGTCAAAACTCTCCAGTGGTTCTACCTCTTACTCAGACTAAAAGTCAAAGTCTTTACAGAGGCCTACAAAGCTCTACCTAAAGTAGCCCTGTAACTTCATAGGTTTCATCTTCCCATTACTCTTACTCCACTCCAGTCACAGTGGCTGCCTTACTATTCCTTGAACACATGAGGTTTGTTCCTGTTGCAGGGCCTTGGCACTTGCTGTTCCATCTGCCTGGAATGTTCTCTCTCTTCCCCCACCCCCCCAGATATCCTTATGGCTCACTCCCTCACCTCCTATAGGTATGTATGTATAGTAGTCCTCCCTTATCCACATGAGACATGTTCCAAGATCCCCAATGGATGCCTGAAACCGCAGCCAGTACCAAATCCTTTTTTAATACTGTTTCCCGCCCTATACATAGTATATACTTATGATAAAGTTTAATTTATAAATTAGGAACAGTAAGAGATTAACAACAGTAAGTAATAATAAAATAGAACATATAACAATATACTTTAATAAAAGTTCTGTGAATGTGGTCTCTCTCTGTTCATGTTTTCCAACCACAAATTGAATGGCTTCTCCATCTTAATTAAGCATTTGCCATGCACTGTGGCCATAACTTTTGCAGTTTGAGATACGACAGCAAAATGAGCACAAATTTCTTTTTCCTTCTTCACAATTTAATGGATAAAACATTTGTTCTTACCATAGATCTTAGCAACCTCAGCATGTTTTTTTCCCCTTTCCTTATTAACTTATTTCCTTTTTTTCCTTATTAACTCGAGAACTTTCACCTTTTCACTTAAAGGAAGTAAATACTTTACAACTTTTTTTTGGCATACGTGAGTTGCCAGCATCGCTACTCGTGGGCTTTGGGGCCATTATTAAGTAATATAAGGGTTACTTGAACACAAACACTGAGATACCCATATCTTGACAGTCAGTCTGATAAATGAGAAGGCTTCTAAGTGACCAATGGTGAGGAGTGTCTATAGCATGGACATGCTGGACAAAAAGATGATTCATGTCCCAGGTGGGAAGGAGAGGCAGAGCATGAGATTTCATCACACTACTCAGAACAGCACACAATTTAAAAATTGTGACTTATTTATGTAATTTTCCATTTAATATTTTCAGACAATGGTTGACCACAGATAACGGAAACTGTTGACCAGGGATAAAGGGAACTACTGTACTCAAATGTTACCTTTTTAGTTAGGCTTTCTCTGACCACCCAACTTGAAATAAAAACGCTTCTGCCCCATATTCTTTTTTCTTTGTTGCCAATCCTCACCCACGGATATTTTTTTCCATTGACTTTTAGCAAGAGTGGAAGGGTGGGAAGAGTGGGGAAGAGAGAGAGATCCATGTGAGAGAGACACATCAATTGATTGCCTCTCGCATATGCCCTGACTGGGGCTGGGGATCAAACCTGCAAGCCAGGTATATGCCCTTGACCAGGAATTAAACCCTTGGCTCTTCAGTGCACAGGCCCATGCAACACCAGCCAGGGCCTGCCCCATATTCTTAATCTCCCTTACCCTGCTTTATTTTATCCTTAGAACTTATCACCATCTGAAGTTCTGTACATTTTACTTGTCTCTCTCCAGTACAACTTAAGCTCTATGAGGGTAGATATTTTTATCTGGTTTATTCATGTCTGTGTTACAGACACCAGAACAATGCCTGGCACGGGTAGGTGCTCAGGAAATATTTATTGAACAAATAAGTGAACCCACAAATGGGTTACTTTGTGTGTTTTTTCCTCTAGCTTTATTGAGTTATAATTGACAAATAAAATTATTAATCCTCACCCAATGATATTTTTTATTTATTTTTTAAAAATGCGTTTTTATTTAGAGAGAGAGAAAGGGAGAGGGAGAGAGAGCTAGAAACATTGATGAGATAGAAACATGAACATTGATTGGCTGCCTCCTGCACGCCCCCTACTGAGTATTGAGCCTGCAACCCTGGGCATGTGCCCTCATCGGGAATCGAACAGGGCACCTCTTGGTGCATGGGTCTATGTTCAACCATTGAGCCACACTGGTGAGGCTTTTCCATTGATTTTTAGAGAGAGAGAAACATTGATATGAGAGAGACACAAATATTGGCTGTCTCCCACATGTGTCCCAACTGGGGCCAGGGATGGAACCTGCAATCCAGGTAATTTCCCTTGACCGGAATCAAACCTGAGACTGTTTGGTGTAGGGGTCAATGCTCTAACCACTGAGACACTGGCCAGGGCTAAAATGGTATATATTTAAAGTGTATAAGGTGATGGTTTGATAAATAAATGAATGAATGATCTGTTTATTTTGAAAACTAGTTGGGACTTAAACCATTTCTTTCTTTCTTTTTTTAGGTTCTTTATTGTTTAAAGTATTACATAGAGTATTACATATGTCTCCTTTTTCTCCCATTGACCTCTCTCTGACCACCCCACCCCCAAGCACATGCCCTCAGCCTTCCTAGTGTCTGTGTCCTTTGGTAATGCTTATATGCATGCATATAAGTCCTTTGGTTGATCTCTTACGCCCCCCTCCCCCAGCCATTTCTTATTGCTTGACTAGATTCAACCATTAGGTTTCAAAATAGTTTGTCTAATTTCAGCTGCAGTGTGATCTTGCATAAATAAACTAAAAAAAAAGATATTCTTGCCCTGGCTGGTGTGGCTCAGTTGGTTGGAGCATTGTCCTATGCACGGAAGGGTTCCATTCCCAGTCAGGGCACATGCCTAGGTTGGGGGTTTGATCCCTAGTCAGGGTGTGTATGGGAGACAGCCGATTGATGTTTCTCACATCGATGTTTCTTTCTCCCTTCTTCCCTTCCTCCCTTCCCCTCTCTGTAGAATCAGTAAAACATGTCCTTGTGTTAGGATTAAAAATAATAATAATAATTTAAAAAGATAATCTCACTAGAAACTTTATCTTTCTTAAGGTATTTAAAAATGAGTCAGACTGTTAGAGTTTGAATGCTGGACATTTGTGTGAATCTGGACAAGTTAACTATTCTGTGCCTCAGTTTCATCATCCATAAAACAGGCATACTAGAAGCACCTATCCCATGATGTTTTTTTGGGATCATAAAAATAATAGTGTAGCCGAAACCGGTTTGGCTCAGTGGATAGAGCGTCGGCCTGCGGACTGAAAGGTCCCAGGTTCGATTCCGTTCAAGGGCATGTACCTGGGTTGCGGGCACATCCCCAGTAGGGAGTGTGCAGGAGGCAGCTGATCGATGTTTCTCTCTCATCGATGTTTCTAACTCTCTATCTCTCTCCCTTCCTCTCTGTAAAAAATCAATAAAATATATTTAAAAAAAAATAGTGTATGTAAATCACCTACCCCAGTACCTGGCACATAGTAAAGTTTCAGTGAATAATGGCTTTTATTACTGTTATTAAGATGTAAGAGAAAAATCTCAAAAAATACAGGAAGACTTGCAACAGAAACAACTGAATACATTTTTCTAAGTGAAACTAAAATAGTTGTCCAGCTCTTTTGTATAAGTGGCAGTTCTTTGGGAAATGAGCCAAAACTTGAAGGCCAATTGTTTTGTCCCTTTCCTTAGAAGGGTTTCCTGGGTCTGGACACATTCTCTTCATATTCTCTATATCCTCACAGAATAGTCACACTTGGAACCCTTCATACTTAATATCTCCACGGTCACATTCTTCACATTAATGCCATTTCAGACCCAGAGGTTCAGATTCCATGGATGATCTTCACTCAGGAAATTGCTTAAAAATTCAGCAGTTCCCTTTGTGGGAAAGATGCTTGCTGAGTGCTGGCAGACTAGCTTTCTAAATGTGTTGACTTGCAAACAAGGTTGTCCATGCTTTAAAAGGCAAGGACAATGGTCTCTATTTCTGTGTCATGACACCTCCTTGTAGCTCGCTGTCAGACACATCTTGTGTTAATGCCTTGTTAAACAAAGTTATCACAGATCCAGTCTATGAATGCTGACATGTGTCGGGTTATTTGACTAGTGCAGGGAAAGGGGGAAGCCCAACCCTGCACACGAGCATTTGGCTCCCATTTCACAGAAGTAGCCAATGAAGTGCAGCCTCTCCCATTCTGCACTTGCCTCAACATCATTTCACACTTGCTTTCCAAGGTCCACTTCTTATGTTCTAACTTCCCACTTACCTCCCACAGTTGGACTGGGCTGGGCTAGGCTGGGCACACATTCATTTATTCATTCATTAAACCCCACCGGGATCAAGAAATACACACTGCTTCTTTGCTGCTTTCAAACACTTTTCTAGTTTAGTTATTTAAATAAAATGTTATCTTGTTGTCTGAGCTATGCTGTAAATTTCTTGAGTACATGGACTTCTACATTATTCTTGTTTCCTGCAGTGCCACCCTTGATTCTTCATTTCGTCTATGTTTTTATTATTATGCTCTGCAAAACTGCTCTGGAGAAACGGGCCCAAAACCTAGGAATTGGGTTAAATTTCCTCCCTGACTTTTTATTTTTTACTAGAGGCCTGGTGCACAAAATTCATGCATGGCTAGGGTCCCTAGGCCTGGCCGGCGAACAGGGCTGATCAGGGCCTTCTGGCTGCTGGCCAGGGCCTTCCTTCATTCCGCACAGCCCCCTGGTGGTCAGCACACATCATAGTGAGTGATAGAACTCCCTGTCTCCCGGTTGAACTCCCACAGGGACACTTTGCATATTAGCCTTTTATATATATAGATTGTGTTTGTTAGGAGAAACTAGCATGTAACAACCAGCAAGCACTAAACCATTTTCCTACTATAATATGACTTCAAATAAAAACCTGACAAAGCCTCTGCTGAAAATTAGAAACTTACTCATAAACGGTTGTCCATCCATTTTCATTACTTTTGGTAGCCAGAAGCCCAGTGTTTCCTGGATAGGTCATCAAGGCCAGGTTATAGCCTTGGGCTGATACTCTTTTCAGAACTCCATTGCTGCTTATGGTCAGCCAGTACACCTGCCCGCCAGGCACTACAAGCCAAAGGGGCATTCCGCCTGCATCCCTGCGAATATGCACAGAGTTGCCATTGCTACTGGTAATGGCGCCCAAGTCACCTTCAGCATTGTAGGTGAAATTATACACATAGTCCCTTGTTATCAAGTTCAAGGTGTGCAGGTGGGTTCCATTGACGGTGAACTGGTAGAGTTCCTGATCAGCAGGTGAAGCAATCTCATAAAGGTTCATGTCATTCAGGTGGGCTTGGTTCCTACTAATGGTTCGAATTCGAACGTTCCCAAGGTCAGCCACATAGAGGGTGCCATCAGGTGACACTGCTAAAGAGGAAGGGGCTTTCATCTTTGCATCTTTGGCATAGCCACCATCACCTGTGGGAGAAAGATCCTGATTTTAATAATTGTCATCATAAACATTTGTATGAAAAAACAGTATACAGAAATCACTGTGCATCAAGAATCATCTGAAAGGGAACAATCAGTTAGCCAGCATTCTCTGCAGGTCCTCCTTGACAAATTTGAAACCCATTATTCAAAATTTTTGAGTCAGTACCATTGAAGATAAACAGTAAGATGCAATTATCTCAGTAATACCAATTTTGTGAAATCCTCAATCCTGCTGTTCAGAATCTATTGTACTGCAAGATACAAAAAACAGCAAATAATAACAGCCAACAAAATTTGGCTGGAAATCCATGAGACTTAATGCCTGTCAATACTTGTAGGATCTATCTCAGACCTTTCCAATCCTACTGTGCCTAGAGGACCTTTCTTCAGCTAATTCCCATTGTCACATTTGTCAAAGTACACTAAGTATGTATGTGAAACAATGATTCAGAACACCAACTTTGATGACTAGAATAGATATTAGATTTGTCTTGAATGAAAAATATAAATTAGCAAAATAACTATAAAACTGTCCAGGAAAACATTGGAAATATTGATCAAAAGTCATATCGACCAAGTTGCTCTAGAGTTCTCTGGCCCAAGTAAAAGCAAAGGTTAAAAGAGAACCATTTGGGCCTGGATGAACAGTTTATTAGGGCTGCAAGCAGCATGGAGTGATTTTCATGTCCCAGCAACAAATGTATCTATTGACATTTTGAGGACTGTTTGCTATCTGGAATATCCATTCCATGTTATGGGGGAAAGGCTCTTTTTTTTCCTTTATTCTTTTCCCCCCTATTTCAACTGAAAGTAAAGGGCACTGATGATTATGAGAAAGTTTTGGATTTAACAAACAATAACAATGGAAGTAGCAGATTAATGTCTTGAGACCCCTCCATTGTCGTAAAGTTTTGATTCCACCCATGTGTCTCCAAAGCAGTCTGTTCCTAGTCCCTTTGGGTTTCAAATAGCACATGCTGTCAATCTGGAAAACAGTTACTTAGGGGAAGTAATATTTTTCCTGAGCTAAGTTACTAAATGTAGGTTTTACCTAGTTTCTCTTTCTCCAAAGTACAAATATCATTATGGTCCTACACTTGTATAATGGTTTTAACTTCTTAGAGTTATCAGGATTTGTATTTATATTAGTCTATCCTCAAACCAGGAAGGTGATATAATTGAGACAAGTGACACCTCTATTTAACAGATGAAGTAAGCAAGTAGTAAAAAGATTTTGTGGGCTTTCTTGGGGCCATTCAGTGTGTCAACTGCAGAACAATCAGATAGTAGGCTATCTGACCCCCAACGCACTGCTTTTTCCACTAGCTCATATTAATGTTCACAAGCAACACTTTGGTTTTCCTTTGGACTTTTCTGATGCATGTTTTTCTTTTGAAAACAGAGAGGGGGAGCTGGTGAATTGCTAAAAAGGTCATACCTGAAAAACAGTCACAGTTGGGATCAATTTTGCAATCACAGTCAGTGGGGGCACCGGCCATGATGGAGATCTCCCCATTGGTGGTAACTTGCTGAATGCGGTTTACTTTCCTCTCATCTGTTTCAGCTATGAAGAGCAGGCCGCTGTGGGAGACACTGATGGCCCTCGCTGACTCCAGAGTGGAGTGAATTGCCACCTTGCTGACCAAGAAATGATCGATACCTGGCACCTGGCAGTGAATGGGGCGCCCTGCAATGATCCGCACGCGCCTGTTCTCAGAAATTTGCAGCACAATATTGTTATCTAAGACATACAATGAATTGTCCATGGGATTGACTGCAAGGTCTGTTGGCCACTCTAACCGCACCTGCAAAAAGAACAGAACACACACTATTAGGTTATAATATCTTTCCAGGGGCAGTTTTACTTTGGAAAAAAAAAACACCTGGTTAATTGGTTGCTCTTGTCTCAAGAATTTCAGCAATCTTGGTGTTGCCTCCAAAGTTGCGGGAGGATGATTGATCCAATGTTCTGTAAACATATCTTTCATTTATACCATTTCAAGCATATTATTTTTTGCAATAATTCCAGAAGGGTCCTCTAGAGCAATGATTTTTAACCTTTTTCATCTTATGGCACACATAAACTAATTACTAAAATTCTGCAGCACACCAAAAATACATTATATATTTTGCCAATCTGACAAAAAATAGGTATAATTTTGATTGATTTACAAAAAATATAATAGTAATTACCCTTTTTGCTCCAGAGTGGCTTTTAAAAAAATCAGGTGCCTATACTTGGATATAAGGATTTCTGGTACCAAGAATTAACCAATCAGACACAACCTTATTGTGCGACGTGACCATTATATGACCTACATATTTATGGTTCAAGACAGGGCATTCACAGCAGATGGCTATTGTTGTGTTGGCTGTTATCATTTTATCATTAAGCCTGTAAGGGAAAAGAGGTCAGTGCCCCTGACTAAATAGTCAGGTACTGCATGTTTAAAAATTCTTGCGGCACATTGGTTGAAAATTGCTGCTCTAGAGCAGTGTTTTTCAGAGTGTGGTCTCTGGACCATCAGCAACAGCATCACCTAGGAACTTGTTAGAAATGTGAATTCTCAGGTTCCAACTTAGACCTATTGAATCAGAACCTCTGGGTTGGGGGCCCAGCCAGCTGTGTTTTAATAAGCCTTCTAGGTGATTGTAATGCACACAAAGGTTTGAGGACCACTGCTTTAGGATCTTTGTGTCACAATCATATGCAAATGTCTCTCACTGTCCTATAGATGCATGGAAGAGCAAAGTTATACAGACTTCTAGAAAACAGAATGCTGGAGAAACCAGATTTTACTCTAATCGTAACCTTCTGGGACAGGACCTTCCATTAGCATAGCATCCATCTTGTGGCATATTCATGTACAGCACATCAATTGGTGATTTGGAATTCTAAGTTGACCTGGTTCACTACATATCTCCCTTTGCTCAGCAAAGAAACAGGTTGATTAGTTCTTTAATTGAATATCTCCTGAGTACCTTCTCTGTGCTAAGCTTTGTGATAAGCTTTGGGGATTCAAAATAACTATGACATTACTGTCCATGTTATGAAGAAGGAGGCAACAGAGAGAATATGAGAGCACTTCACCCAGACTAGGAGTCAGGGTATTATCAGAGAAAAAAATCCCATGTGAGGACACAGTAAGAGATTGGTCTTCTGCATGCCAAGGAGAGAAGCCTCAGGAGAAACTAAACCTGTTAACAACTTAGTCTTGAACTTCTAGCCTCCAGAACTGTGAGAAAATAAATTTCTTTTGTTAAAACCACCCAGTCTGTGGTACTTTGTTAAGGAAGCCCCAGCAAACTAATACACAAGGTAATGGAGGGATATACGTGTCTATCTTTATTCTGGCTGTGGGTAACCACTGAAGGGCTTTAAGTGGGAGCGTGCCACAGTCATATTTAGGTGCTAGAGGGATCACACTAGCTTCTGTTGAAACTATAATGGAGGAGGAGGAGAGATGGGAGGCAGGCTGATAGTTTAGAGGCTCCTGCAGTGGTCCAGGTGAGGGATGATACTGGCCTGAACTAGGATGGCAACAGTGGGGATGGAGAGAAGTAAATGGATTTGAGACACATTTAGGAGTTAGAAACAAGGATTGGTGTGTGTATGTGTACCTTGTGCCATGTTGTAGGCACTGGGGATCCACAGACCAACCAAACATGGCTCCACTCTAGTTCCTTTCTAGCCCAATGCCTGCCCTGACATCTCCTTGATAACTACTATTTATCACTGGGCACTTCTCAAAGAGAACTGTATTACGTGCCCTCTCACCCCACCACTAACTTATTCTGTACTTTATTTTTCGTCTCCTAGCCTAGACAAAGGCAGAAAAATCTGTCCCTTTCCTGTTCAAGATAGTAACAGTAATGTAGCTACTCTTCTTTGTGTCTTGAGTGAATGTCCAAGGAAAGCTTTGTTTTTCTTAGTGAATCTGAATGTTTGAAAACAAGATACAGATTGTCATTGCATTCTGAGGCACACTATTTCCCTGGATGGAAGAGGCCTTACACTCAGCAATGAAGTAGATAAAGGTCAGTCTGAGATAAGGCCCTCCCTCGATTTCTGTCTTTTAATGGAGGGCAACTGTAAAGGAGACAAAGGTTTTCTTTGACCTCCTCTGTAGCACCACTTGGGGCTCTTTGCTCCCTGTCTCTCCCAGACAACCAGCAACCTCATTCTGTCTCCATGTCTTTGCGTGCCCTCAACCTCCTCATAGGCTGGCCTTCTCTGGTTGGCACCATATGCCTCTGGGCAGCTAGGAATTTGAATGCTAATGGAGTATAAAGCTGAGCTTGTGTTGTGCATGTTCTACAGAGCCTTTCAGACCGAGGCCATTGGATAAGCATTAAACACCAGGTTTAACAGCTCCCAGAGCAGTTTGCCTTGATGTGTTCCTCAGCACGTCTGTCTGAGGCCTTTGCACGTCAGTGCCCTGCCACCGGGAGAGTGAGCGCCTGCTGCTGCGGAGGGCGCCAACTCCTCCTCCGACACGTGACCCTGCTTGGGACCTCGATATACACCATCATGCTTGTACAGAAGCTGTCTGTGGAAATAAGCTGGGGCTGCCTGAGGAAGAGGAAATGTATTTATTTCAGTACAACACTCCTATTTTGATCGAGTCTGAAGTCAGTGACCCAGAAAAAACAAAGCCGGCAGAAATGACATTCTAATTATCCCCAGTCTGAGAGCCGAGGCCAGGACAGAGGCCAGGGACAACACACCTGGCGGGAGTCAGAGAAGGATATGTTTCAGACTCTGTTCGCTGCTGTCAAGGCTGCCTCTGAGATAAAGGCTGGTCGTTGGGACATAAGCTGTTAAATTCTCCAACTCGCTCAACTGATTTAAGTCAATACTATTGGTGTCATGTTTATTAGATTTAATATTACCTCAAAAATGCACGAGCTATTGTGTCTGTTTTCTTTTCCATCAAATAAGTCACCCTCTGGCAGTTTCCTGTAACTAAAGTGACCTTTGTGCTTCTGAGACACTTTCTCTACCAGCTGCATAGAATCCCTGTAATTCCCATTTGATTTGACTGGGCAGCTTGTCTATGAAATCCACTCAGATGAAAGATGTGTGGCTACTTAGTAGTCTAGGGTCTGCCTTTTCAGAAACTGGACCTTTTCACCTTTCTCAGGTTGTCAGTTCCTTTTATATCCTTCTCCTGTTAAATACTCCCATTTCCAGGTAATTTTTCAAGGAACCGGTGCTTTAGACCCACATAATAGAAACACTATATTTCCTACCAAGGCATTTCCTTAACACAAGCTAACATGGAATGGAGTCTGTGAGCTGCTGGCAGTCAGAATTAGCATCTATTAGTTGCAGAGACCCAAGATTTATATGCTACTGAGGTGGGGCTGAGAGTAACCCCTGAGGGTTGCTGGCATTTATCCAAGTAGATTCTGTGGAGAAATACACATTACTGTTTGGGCCATGGGGGCAGAAAGAGATGTAGGCACAACAGTTAAGCTCTGGAAACTCTGCTAGTGACCCAGCCTACAGGCAAACCACTTGGCCTAATTTGTGGTGGTTGCCCCACCTTGTAAAAATACATTAATTTGTTTGAAATGTCAAAATGTATTTAAACTAAACTAGCATGAAAGGTCACCAGTGTAGCCGCCAGCTGGTGGGCGTGCCCGTCTCCCAACAACCTGCCCTAAGAAACAACTCTGAGCAAAAGGAAGCTCTCGGTTTGGAAGTCAGGCCTTGACAGCACTATGTCTTCCTTGGCTAATCGAAAATTTGCCTTAAAGGGACTTGACTCACAGGTCAGCCAGTCCCATGGTTGCTTTAAAGATCCAGCTAATTTTGACCTAAGTAGTAGTTTATAAAGTGGCAGAATCCTAGAGGGAAAAATCCATGTGTAAAAGCGATATCTAAAGATGAGCCCTTGATTAGGCTGAAGTAGAAAAATCCCTCAATTATAAACTTAACCCCACAATGGAGACATAGACCATAATTTGTACATTTGGGCTCTCTCTAACAGTCTGAAGGCTGGATCCTTCCTTAACTAGTATACAGCCCTAGGCAAATGAGGTCTCCTCTAGGAGTCTCTGGTTCTCTCATCTGTAACAAGGAAAAGAGGCTAATGATAATCTAGCTAACTTCTGAGAGTTATTACTTTACAGTGGGTTACTCTCAAGTGGGTTAAATGAGATAGTGATGTAAAGTGTTCAGCCCAGTGCCTAAGGGATGGTAAGTAGTATTAACATTAATAACGGCTTCAAAGTCATAGACCTTTAGATCCAGAAGGAATCTAGTTTAGTTAAATATACATGTTGTGCCCCTCAAAATGTATACACACTTTAAAAGCTGATAGCTCAAATTTCAGTCCTTTTCAGGTTTAACTGATTTGAAATAATGGGTGAAGCGAGACTAAGCTTTGAACAAAGAAAATTTATCCACTAGACTTTTTTTATGGGGATACAAAACAGATAAAGTTTACGGTACAAAATCGGCAACAGTTGACAAATTGAGGGTGTATAAATACCAAACAAAATGATTCTTCATGTTTTCGATTCCATTCGCATTATCAGCAATGCCTGGACCAGAATGGTCAGCAGTTTGAAAACAGGCATTGACAACAAAAAATTATTAATTTATGTAGATTCTTTTAAATTTTTGAAATTGAACTCTATGGTAATAAACACAGACTTTATCATTGCCCTGACCGGTTTGACTCAGTGGATAGAGCGTTGGCCTGTGGACTCAAGGGTCCCGGGTTCGATTCTGGTCAAGGGCATGTACCTTGGTTGCGGGCACATCCCCAGTAGGGGGTGTGCAGAAGGCAGCTGA